TTTAAATAGGGCCATTTAATTTATTTAAATTATTTAAATCCCCGAAAACCCTTCTGACAATTTAAATAATTTAAATAAATTAAATGGCCCTATTTAAATTATTTAAATTATTTAAATTATTTAAATTAATTTAAATATTTGGATTTCTTGGTGAAGTCCTTACAAAGGCTCGATTTAAATTATTTAAATTATTTAAATCCCCGAAAACCCTTTTGACAATTTAAATAATTTAAATAAATTAAAGGGCCGTATTTAAATAATTTAAATTATTTAAATTATTTAAATTATTTAAATTAATTTAAATATTTAGATTTCTTGGTGAAGTCCTTACAAAGGCTCGATTTAAATTATTTAAATTATTTAAATAATTTAAATTATTTACTTTCACTTTCACATACACAAGCAAGCATAGAAGCAAAATAGACCCGAAAGGTTTTTCTCTCATATATATATATATATATAGATAATATATATATATATATGTAACACATTCAGAGATCCGGGGAAGTGGGTCCCCTTTTCCGGGGGTGGCGAAGACGAAATTCGAAGACGAAATTTGAAGACGAAATTCGGCCCAGCCGAAATTAGGCCCTGAAGACGAAATTCGGCACTGAAGACGAAATTCGGCCCCTGAAGCCTAAATTTGGCCCTGAAGCCTAAATTGGGCCCTTGAAGCCGAAATTCGGCCCCGAAGACGAAATTCGGCCGCTGAAGACGAAATTCGGCCCTGAAGCCGAAATTCGGCTCCTGAAGACGAAATTCGGCCCCGAAAACGAGGGGTGCTAAAGCCCTAGACACTCTAAATTAAATTACTTAAATAGACCCTGTTCATCAAGTCTGCATGCTTCTACCCCCCTCCCCCCAATGCCCTACGCACTCAACCCTAAAATCCCCAAACCCTAAACCCTAGACTCCCTACCTACACAACCCAACCCTAAACTTCCCAAAAACACCGAAACCCTAACCATAAACCCAAAATCCTAACCTCCCCAAACTCCCCAAACCCTAAACCCTACATCCTAAACCCTAAACCCTGAACCCTAACCCCCCCCCCCCTCCCAAAAAAAAAAAAAAACGCGGAGGTTGCCTCGACCCACTCCAGAGCCCGGAGGACCAAGGCCTGATCAGCAAGAGGAGGACGTTTAGGCGAAGGTTCCGAGTCTGTGCCCTGAGATACTCCTCCTGGGGTTTAGGGTTTAGGGTTTAGGGTTTAGGGTTTAGGGTTTAGGGTTTAGGGTTTAGGGTTTAGGGTTTAGGGTCTAGGGTCTAGGGTTTAGGGTTAGGGTTTAGTGTCCGTGTATGGGCGCTTAATTTGGGTCCCTTCTTGTAGAACCCTCATATACACTATACACAATAAGGCCACATACCTCGGAAATCCCTATAAACAAGGGTAAGGGACCATACTTTGGGGCCCATGGTTCCAAGTTAGATTTTAGGATTTGAGGCTTTGAGAGCTTTATGGTTTGAGGGTGCGAGGGTTTCAGGGACTGCGGGTTTGAGGCTTCGGAGTGTTTTGAGACCTTGAGGGTTCGAGGAATTGAGAGCTTTAGGGTGGTTAGGGGGGTTTTAGGCTGTTTGTGGACTTTTCGGGGTTCTTAGGGCGTTTAGGATGTTTAGGATTTTCGGACGCTTCGGGTTTGTAGAGATTTTGGGGTGGGGGGGGCTTGTGTGTGTGTTTAGATCTTGTGGGCTTTGGCCGGGGATTTGCGTTTGTGTCGGGGGCGTTGCTGACTATGGCCGTCTTGATAGGGTCAAAGCGTAAGGGCTTGGTAGCTTTCTTAGGGTAGTCCCTCAGTATGGGCCCTGTTAAAAGGGGACCACAATAGACACCCCCCTTACATACCCTACACAAATTTAAGGGCCCATACATCCCTTTAAGAGAATGTACTGGACCATATGAAGCTCCGTGGTCCTGCCTTGGAGCGCTCAGGGTTTCGGGCCCTAAGCCCTAAGCCCTAAACCCTAAACCCTGAACCCCAAACACGGTTAGGATTCTCGGCAATTGAACAGTCAAAGGGGGAGCCAAATAGGGGGCGAGAGGGGGGCTGGGCTTAGGGGGCGAGGTGAGGTTTGGGGTTTGGGGTTTAGGGCTTGGGGTTTAAAGCTTAGGGTTTAGGGGCTTCTATGGCCTTAGTTGCTGAGTTCATAAGCCCCCCCAAAAGTGTACACTTTCAGTTCTACAGGGGAAATAACTATCGTATCCCAGAAAGTGTAAAGTGCACTCATTCAGCTATGAAGTGGCAGAGAAAGCCCCCGAAGCCCCCAAGCCGCCCACAGAAGGGCTCTGGGGAGTGAACGTTGTACTTCTTTGGGGGATAGCCCTTGAGCAAGATCTCCGAGAGCAACTTCCGCCTCGGCTTTTGGCAGGTCTTAGGGCTTTAGGGTCTGGGGTTTGGAGGGGCTGTAAAGCCTATAATTGCTAAACCCGAAGCCCTAAACCCTAAACCCTAAACCCTAAACCCTAAACCCTAAACCCTAAACCCTAAACCCTCAACCCTACACTCCCTAAACCCCAAAAAAAATCAACTCCAAGTCCATTTCCAGTTCCTGAGCTGGCGCCGGCACCCCTGAAACGCTCCCACGAATTGCTTAAGAGACCCCCCCCTAGACCCTAAACCCTAAACCCTAAACCCCCCCCCTCCAAAAAAAATCAACTTCCTTCTAAAGGGCAATATAAAGACTATAACTATCTTCCAAAAATTGTCAACCTCCCTCCAAGGGCAGGATAAAGATTCTCGAAATTGTCTTATTTAATTGTGCCAAAACCCCCGGTTGTCGCGGACCGCGCGCGAAACCATCTGTTACAGACCTATGTAACGCCCGTCTTGATACGGACCTCTGTCGCGCGCATGCACGACTGGAAGCCAAAAGGGGAAACAAGACAACAACAAGCAGGTCTGTCGCAAAACCCCGGGCATTGATACATATCCTGGGTATGTCGCGTGTGTGGGCCACGACCCTGTTACAAGCAGTTAGGATTGGCACACGGCCTTATATTCTCGGGGGTTCTTAAGCAAATAGGTCTTTTTTGAACCCGAAAAGACCCCTAAAGGGCCAATTTAATTAAAGATTATTGAAACTATCTTCGAAAACAATCAACTTCCTTATAAGGGCTCGAAACCATGTTTTGTTTCTAGGCTAGGGTTCTGAAGCACATAGTAGATCTTTTTTGAAAAGACCCGACTCTTGCGGTGCCAGGGGGCAGTCTGCGGAGGTCTTGTGCTGCCATGGCAGCTTTGATCTGTGCAAGCTGTTGTTTTGGGGAGGAGCTTCCGACAGTTTAGGGTTTTTAGGGTTTAGGGTTCAGGGTTTTTTGGGGCCAGCGACCGGATAAGGCCAGTATTTAGGGCCCCCCAGAGTCTCCCAGAGAACCCGACCAACATAATACAATAATCGAAAGTTGCACAACAGCTCAAGTAGGCTTCCATTCTTCTTTGAAGGTATACTGGCAACTCTTGGTAAGGTAAAGCCGAGACCATAACAACCTCAGGAAAAAGATTGGCGTATAAGCTTTAGGGTTTGCAGCCACTTTTAAACGCCAAGCCCTCAAACTTTTGGAGGCTTGTTGGAGTTGGGCTAAGGGCAGGGGTTTGGGGGTAGGGTTTAGGGCTTGGGGCTGAGGGTGGTTCATGCAAACCCTAGACCCCTAAGCCCCAAAACGAAACGCAGTTTCAATCCCAGTAGGATGAGGGTCCTTCTGTTGGTACCCACACTATGACTAGGTTAGCCCTTTAAGCCCCCTGGAAAAACTCCTAACTCTCATCCTCCGCAACCCAACAAAGGAAAAGTAAATAATATCCTTAAACCCTAAACCCTAAACCCTAAACCCTAAACCCTAAACCCTAAACCCTAAACCCCCCCCCCCCCCATTTCCCATCTTCATGCCGCCTGCTGCTGCATGTCGTCATCCGGCTCCTCCACGGGTTTAGGGTTTAGGGTTTAGGGTTTAGGGTTTAGGGTTTAGGGTACTCCTCCACTCGAATCTTGGGTCGAGGTTGCGGATCGGCGGGCTCCGCTGGCTCCGTCGAGGAGGATGCCTTAGGTTTGCTTAGGGCTTAGGGCTTAGGGCTTAGGGTTTAGGGTTTAGGGTTTAGGGTTTAGGGTTTAGGGTTTAGGGTTTAGGGTTTAGGGCTTCGGGCTTAGGGTTGAGGATGTTTAGGGACTCATTGTAGGGTTTAGGGGTCTAGGACTCTAGGGTTTCGAAGCTGTACAGCAGGGTCTAAACCGCAAGAGCCGAAACCCGACCCTAAACCCTAAACCCTAAACCCTAAACCCTAAACCCTAAACCCTAAACCCTAAACCCTAAACCCTAAAGAATCTAAGCACAAAACCTCGGCCGTGAAAATGGGGTTGAAGCCGGGCTCAAGCTCTCCTCTGACAATCAGGTTGGAGGGTTTAGGGTTTAGGGTTTAGGGTTTAGGGTTTAGGGTTTGGGGTTTGGGGTTTGGGGTTTAGGGTTTAGGGATTGGGGTTTGGGGTTTGGGGTTTCGGGTTTAGGGTTCAATTTGGGGGTTAGCAGAAATCGCTCGGGACCCCATGTGCCCGGACATCACATAATCCCTTCACATACACCTACTCCTACTGGTGGTGAGGGCAGTGCTTGGCTCACGCCTCCCGCATCTGAGGGCTTACCAGCATGAGGTTTCCCAACAGAAAGGTTTAAGGAACCCTAAACCCTAAACCCTAAACCCTAAACCCTAAACCCTAAACCCTAATGGGGCTCAGGTCCTGTGTACCGGTGGCAGGGGAGGTTCGAGGGTGGGCTTCAGGGTTTCAGGGTGAAGCGGCTTCCTGGCTTCGGGGTTTGGGGTTTAGGGGCTTGTAAAGTTTTAGGTTTAGTGGCTGCAAAGCACCTGGCCCCCAAACAAAAAGAAGTCTGGGAGGGGAGGGGCCCTAGTAGCGGAATCCAGATGCCGATGTTTGAGGGAAACTAGTTGAGGACTCGGGATTCAGAATTCCCAGTTGCAATCTTGATTCCTGCTCCCCTCCGGATGTTCATGCTAACTCTGGAAATCTTGATCCGTGAAGTCCTTGTTCAAAGGCCTCCAAGCCATCAGAACAATTTCGTGCCCGGCTGCTTGTACCGGCATCACCTGTGAAAGCTTCCGCTCTTCCTCCTCCGCCTCCTGCATGCGCTTGCATACCTCAAGGAAGGGGCTGAGAGTCATGAAACTACGAGCATCCTGCTGGCACTACCCTACTTCTCCTACAACCACGAAAGAAACAAAAAAGGTTAAACCTTACTACCTGAATAGTGCTACTACACCGGCGTCTAGAGCCAAAAGATTCAAGTTCAACCTTGGCGAAGTAAGCTGCATAAGAGAAGGATCCATTCGCCACAGGGGGACAATGCGTCTGCAGACCCTGCTCTCCTGCTTTCTGAGGGTGGCCTTTACAACCTCTCAAGGACCCCTTCCTCCCTAAATTCAAGATGGGCTATTAGGCCCTACAACCCCCATAATGAACCCTATAAAGGGCGTTTGTTTAAGGGGTTATAGGGGAAGCCATGCCTTTACAACCTCTTGATATTTTCAAATATTTTGGTGAAACCAAAAATTCAATATACGAATATTTGTTCCATGCTTTATCTCACAAAAAAATACCACCATGGCATTTTCATAAAGTTATCCTTAACTTGAAAAGATGTTTTCACATAACTCAAAAAATCAGAAAAAGCTTGGAAAATACAAAAAAATACCACCATGGCATTTTCATAAAGTTATCCTTAACTTGAAAAGATGTTTTCACATAACTCAAAAAATCAGAAAAAAGCTTGGAAAATTAAGAAAAAAGCCAAGGACCCCTTGCTTCCCTAAACTCCCCTGCAACCAGGATGGGCTATTAGGCGCCATAATCCCCAGAATCAACCCTGTAAAGGGGGGCCATAGGGCGTAATAGCCCGTCCTGGAAGCCATTAAAAGACCTTACACAGGCTTGACAATCGGGCAGTCGTTCGGAGCTGGAGACGGCAGACTGAGGCGTAAAAACCGCCTCCAAGCAAAGCATCAAACCCCCAGGCGACATGGAGGTCCACCACGAAAAACCGCCAAGAGATCCATCCAAGGCAACGTAGGTAGTAGGATGTTGAGCTCCTAAACCCTAAACCCTAAACCCTAAACCCTAAACCCTAAACCCTACTAAGGTTTGGGGTACAGCTGGCTTCAGGACCTCATGCGGCCAGGCCGCGAGGAAGGAAACGGCTGCAATGCACGAGAAGCAGCAGAAGGCTCCCAGGACAGCCTCAGGTTTAGGGTTTAAGGTTTAGGGTTTAGGGTTTAGGGTTTAGGGTTTAGGAATCTCATCAGCTGAGTCTTTCGAAGTGGATAACCCTGACCCCGAACCCCAACCCTGCAGAACCAGAATGGGTTCCAAGGAGCCCGTTAGGGTTTAGGGTTTAGGGTTTAGGGTTTAGGGTTTAGGGTTTAGGGTTTAGGGTTTAGGGTTTAGGGTTTAGGGTTTAGGCCGGCAGTTTGCGCACATTGCCTGGGGACGGAGATCTTGACGCCCCTGAATAGAAATTGCGAGGCCCTTGGACTTAGGGCTGAACCCTGAGCCCCCAAAAACCCTAACAGCCAAACGCTACACCCTAAACCCTAAACCCTAAACCCTAAACCCTAAACCCTGAACCACTTCTGAGGCTCCAGCAAGAAGGATGATGCCTGCCCCCAGGCCCCGCGACTCCTTCGCGGGCGCCGTGGTGGAGGTAATCTGCAGCAGGACCTCCTTCATTGCAGGGCTTAGGGTTTAGGGTTTAGGGTTTAGGGTTTAGGGTTTAGGGTTTAGGGTTTAGGGTTTAGGGTTTAGGGTTTAGGGTTTAGGGTTTAGGGTTTAGGGTTTAGGGTTTAGGGTTTAGGGTTTGGGGTTTGGGGTTTGGGGTTTGGGGTTTGGGGTTTAGGGTTTAGGGTTTAGGGTTTAGGGTTTAGGGTTTAGGGTTTAGGGTCTCAAAAGGGTTCCGGGTACGTTGATTTCGGGCCTTTGTGTAGGGAAAGGGTTTGGGGTTTAGGGTTTAAGGATTAGGGTTTAGGGTTCAAGTTTTGGGCAAACAATGCTCAATACCAACAACACATCCAGTGCCTCGACAGGTGCTCGGTACTGTCCATGCGTACTGTGCCCATTCCTTCTGGGGCTCGTTTGGCCCCGGATGTCTGCCACAGCAACACAAAACCCTCAACCCACCCCCCGAAACCCTGAACCCCGAAACCCCGAAACCCCAAAACCCTTAAACCTGTAGACCCCGAAACCCCAAAACCCCCTATAAACCCCCCCAACCCGAAACCCCTCGCAAAAACTGGCTTTGAGAGTGCGGCTGAGAACTGTGGAATCATCTTCTCCGCCTGGGGACTCAAAAGAATATCACTCGGGTTTTTGCAAAGCCCTAGCTTTGACCTCTTCTCGGGTTTAGGGTTCAGGGTTTCCGGTTTAGGGTATAGGGTATTTTGTGTTTAGCGCTCAGGGCTTTGAGAGGCTGGGAGGTTTGAGGGTGTGTGTGTGTGTGTGTTTTTTTTTGGATGTGTGCTGGGTTTGAAGGTGGAGGGTTTTGCAGCGGGTGTGCGGTTCCGCGTTTAGACGGAGGCAAACAAAATGCTCCCCCGTGCTCTGCTTGACAAGCTCCTTCACACCCAACATATTCGGCAACGTGCCAAAAGCACCCGACCAGCGAGACCCAACATTATATGGCTATGAGACGAGACTTTCAAGCAGCGGGTTCGGGACGGTGGGCCTACGTTGTTCTTCCCTAACCCCAAACCCCAAACCCCACACCCTAAACCCTAAACCCTAAACCCTAAACCCCAAACCCCAAACCCCTTGCCACGGCGCCAGCATGGACAGCGCAATGGGCGCGTGGAGGCTCCGCAGTCGTCGGGCACTGCCGACCTCGTGAGGTTCAAGTGGAGGGTTTAGGGTTTAGGGTTTAGGGTTTAGGCTTTAGGGTTTAGGGTTTAGGGTTTAGGGTTTAGGGTGTACTTATATTCGTAAGTGGGTTCTAAGTACAGTAACTATGGTTAAGTTGTATCCTTCTTGAGAGGACTTCTGACCCTACTTAGAAGCACCCTAATGAACCTTCAAGTAGGGTTTTGGGGTTTAGGGTTTAGGGCTAGGGTTTAGGGTTTCGGGCTTAGCGGACTGTGGGGGTTGTAAGGCCTTGGGCTTTTGGAGATGAGGGGCTTCCGATGCTTCGGTGCCTGGGGTCTGTAGGGCCCAAGGTGTACGTTAGGATGGAGTGGGGCCCCTAAGCACTAAACCCTAAACCCTAAACCCTAAACCCTAAACCCTAAACCCTAAACCCTAAACCCTAAACCCTAAACCCTAGACCCTAAGCCAGCAGGACGGAGCCAACGAGCAACCCGCGGAGAGATTCCAGGACAAAATGCTTGACGCTTCGGTCCCCCCCCCGCACCTTATGCCCTGACCCAGGGATTCCGAAAAAGGGTTTAGGGTTTAGGGTTTAGGGTTTAGGGTTTAGGGTTTAGGGTTTAAGGATCCTAGCTCAGAACAACCCCATCTCAGGTCTGAGTGCTGCGAGGTTCAGATTAGAGCGCCAGAAGCTCCCTGCACCTCAAGCCCCAAGTACCCTCTAAACCCCAAACCCTATAACCTGCAAAAACCCTACAGCCCTAAAACCCTAAAACTCGCAAACCCTAAAATACCCTCAAACCCGAAAACCCTTACCCAACAAACTCCCTACCACCTTAACCCAAAGATTTCAACCCCAGCTCCCAAGCGCACAGAGACCCCATCCCACCCTTGCCTGGTCGTAGTAGGAATCGTACCTGGGGTCAGGGCTTGGAGTTCTGGGCTCATAATGTCCCAAGAATTGGGTTTAGGGTTTAGGGTTTAGGGTTTAGGGTTTAGGGTTTAGGGTTTAGGGTTTAGGGTTTAGGGTTTAGGGTTTAGGGTTTAGGGTTTAGGGTTTAGGGGTTAGGGCTCAGGCACCAGGGCATGTACCTCCACCTCTCTCCCACACAGCGGAAGTTCTATATCTGATGGCTAACCTAAACCCTAAACCCTAAACCCTAAACCCTAAACCCTAAACACTAAACCCTAAACCCTAAACCCTAAACCCTAAACCCTATAAAGAGCTCCGGTGGCCCTCACCCCTAAAAATCCTAAGACCCCCTTCGTTCAAATGCAGGTTGGGTTCCCCTCAAACCCCTGTGCAGCGCTTTCAGTCCCTACTTTCATGGTAGGAGGGTTTAGGGTTTAGGGTTTAGGGTTAGGGTTTAGGGTTTAGGGTTTAGGGTTTAGGGTTTAGGGTTTAGGGTTTAGGGTTTAGGGTTTAGGGTTTATGGTTTAGGGGTTTAGGGTTTAGGGTTTAGGGTTTAGGGTTTAGGGTTTAGGGTTTAGGGTTTAGGGTTTAGGGTTTAGGGTTTAGGGTTTAGGGTTTAGGGTTTACTGAGTAACCCAATTATGACCCTATTAGGGTACTTAAGGGGCTTCTAAGTGGGTTAGAACTCCTACACTTTTCATTGGTTGTACGTACCCTGAACCTCCAAGTAGGGGGGAAGGGGGGGAGGGGGGTTGTTCTCAAGATATCGGGGGGTTGAGTCTCAGGGAAAGTCCGACACAAACGTCTCTAGATTCGCGCTTGAACCCACCATGGAATTTAAAACCTACATAGACCCTAATGGGTTTAGGGTTTAGGGTTTAGGGTTAAACCCGACGCCCTGAACCCTAAACCCTGCGGCAAGGGTGCTCGAACCACTCAGAGGTTGCCATCTGCTCCAATTCCTTAGCTCTAGGGTTTAGGGTTTAGCTTTTGGGGTTTAGGGATTGGGGTTTGGGGGGTTTGGGGGTTTAGGGTTTGGGGTTTGGGGTTGGGGGTTAGGGTTTAGGGTTTAGGGTTTAGGGTTTAGGGTTTAGGGTTTAGGGTTGAGCCTCCAAGTGCAAAAAGGTGCTACAAGATTGGGGCTTTGTGGTTTTTGTGGGGCTACGGGGTCTTAAACTGTCTGGGGCTTCGGGAGGTTTTTCAGTGGTTTTGGCGGTTGGGTGGTTTAGGGTGTTGCGGTTTTGCGGGTTTTGGGGGGTTGCGGCGGTTCAATCTGCGCATCGAATCCGATTCGCGAGCCAGCCTCGTCTGTCACCAGTGCTGTAGAACCTTCATGACCAAGCCGGAGCGCCACATTCAGCCATGTGCTCAAAAACTCCCATGACGCGCGAAGTCTAAACCCTAAACCCTAAACCCTAAACCCTAAACCCTAAACCCTAAACCCTAAACCCTAAACCCTAAACCCTAAACCCTAAACCCCTGAAAACCCATAACCCCGCCACTGCGAAGGCCCCAACACCCTGTAGGTTCTAAGCCCGTAAGCCATAGGGGCTCAGGGGCTTAGGGAATTCTGGGTTTACGGAACTTCGGGTACTTACAGAACTTAGGGTTTAGGGTTTAGGGTTTGGGGTTTAGGGGGTTCAGGGAACTTATGGAAATGTAGGGTTACCAAACCCTAAACCCTAAACCCTAAACCCTAAACCCTAAACCCTAAACCCTAAACCCTAAACCCTAAACCCTAAACCCTAAACCCTAAACCCTGTCTCGGAACCATGCGGATAGTTCAGCTCCAGCGTCGCTCTGGCGCAGGGCTGACCGCTGGTCCGGTGCATCCATGCCAACAGCGATGACGATGACCTGCGGACCCTAAAATGCCTATAGGGTTTAGGGTTTAGGGTTTAGGGTTTAGGGTTTAGGGTTTAGGGTTTAGGGTTTAGGGTTTAGGGTTTAGGGTTTAGGGTGGGATGTTCCCCCTAAAGCCTGTCATTAAGGATCATGAGAAGGGACCCCTACACGGGACCCTTATAAAGTGTTATGCCCTAGGGTTTAGAGTTTAGGGTTTAGGGTTTAGGGTTTAGGGTTTAGGGTTTAGGGTTTAGGGTTTAGGGTTTAGGGTTTTATAGAACCCCTATATAAATGCCATATATATATATATGTATATATATATATAGATATATAGATATTTCGTTTTTTGTTTATCGTCCTAGCCCCTGCATTGCCCATTACCCCAAAAGTCCCTTATAATTGTCCATTCTGGAGTCCCTTGATGTACGGGAAGACCTATAAACCCTAAACCCTAAACCCTAAACCCTAAACCCTAAACCCTAAACCCTAAACCCTAAACCCTAAACCCTAAACCCCCAAAAAGGGACCGACGCAGAGGACCCTGGAGCCTTATACCCTAACAAACCCGCAAGCCCAAAAAGCCCTTCAACACGTAGAGGCAAAACGCTGAAGCCTTCACCCTAAACCCTGAACCCCAAAGCCTAAGCCCTAAACCCTAAGCCCCAATTCAGCCCGAAACCCTAAACCCTAAACCCTAAACACTAAACCCTAAACCCTAAACCCTAACAACCCCCGCACTGGCCTCAGCGATGCCCTCGTACTTCAGGTGATTTGCCGCGATCTCCGTCTGCGTCGCATCGCTGGACTCAGAGTTCCTTCTTGTTTCGCTTCTAGGGTTCAGGGTTTGGGGTTTAGGGTTTAGGGTTTAGGAAAAAAAGGTCTAGGGTTTAGGGTCTAGGGTTTAGGGTATAGGGTTTAGGGTATAGGGTCTAGGGTGTAGCTTTTAGGGTTTAGGAAAGTTTAGGGTTTAGGAGGGTTTAGGGTTTAGGACTCAGGGTTTATGGTTCAGAGGCTTGTTCTGGGGGTGTTGGAAGAGGGTTAGGGGCAGAAGGCTTTAGGGCTTGTAGGGTCTACAGAGTTTGTTGAGTTTCTCATGTTACTAGGGTTTGTAGGATTTGCGAACCTACTTAAACGAGAAGCCCTGTTCTCAGCCAAGGGTGATGAGGGTTTTGTGGTGGAGAATACAATCCTACATACCCAGTACGAAATGTGGGTGGAGTTACTTACCGTTTTTGAAGGGCACATAGGTCCCTCCGGGAAGCCAAGGAACCCAAACTTCAACCACGAACCCTAAACCATCAGTGCACGTGCAGCAGAGGCACGTCACCACCACGACGATGGACACGTCCGCGATTCTTGCAGGTAAGGTTTAGGGTCTTTGGATTTGGAGGATTGTGGGGCAGTCAAGGGATCGTGCACTTAAGGATTGGACTTCGGGGGCTGTAAGGGTTTAGGTGTTCGGGGCTTCCCCTTGCCCAAGCAATAGGCAACCCTTCAACCCCGCACTTCAATCCCCCTCCCTGCTTCCACCCGCCACTCCTCCTTCAGAACACGCATTGGGGGGAAGCTTCAGAGGGCGTCTCAAGATCTTTTGGGAATTGGGAAGTGGGCTTTCAAAAACTCAGGGGTTTAGGGTTTAGGGTTTAGGGTTTCAGGTTTCAGGGGTTTAGGGTTGAGGTTTCCCGCTCCTGCGGTTGAGCGCTTGGCTGCAGACGTCGAGAGCGTGGGCGGTATCCGGCGGGCCCCCGACAGCAACATAGGTCCCACCGCCTGGGCAGGCAAAAGGACTCGACACCCTAAACCCTAAACCCTAAACCCTAAATCCTAAACCCTAAACCCTAAACCCTAAACCCTAAACCCTACACCCTAAACCCTAAACCCTAAACCCTAACCCTAAACCCTAAACCCTAAACCCTGAACACAGCCGCACCTGCACTATGCAGGTTCGCCAGGAAGTCTTCTGGGGGCGTCCCAGGCTCCAGGGCGACGTCGTAGTCCTCCCCACACCCTTTCTTGAATTGGGGTTTAGGGTTTAGGGTTTAGGGTTAGGGTTTGGGGTTTAGGGTTTAGGGTTTAGGGCTTAGGGCTTAGGGTTTAGGGCTTAGGGTTTAGGGCTTAGGGCTTAAAGTTAAGGGTTTAGGGTTGAGGGTTGAGGGTTTAGGGTCAATTGGTGGGGCTTAGGGTGTAGGGTGTAGGATTGAAGCCTCAAAACCCCAAGCCCAACAAGAGGCGACACAAGGTGGCAACCTAGTTGGGCCTTCTGTGAATTCACGAGACCTCGCATAAAAACCGGGTCAGTGGCTCCTGTCTCCCCAGTCTGCCCCTCGTTGCGTCAATACATCGTGAACGAAAGAGAGCGCGGGGCAATTTCGTTCATCGGTTTCTCTCTTGCTCGTTCATTTCGCTCGCTCCCTCGCGTCATTCACTTGCAGCCTTATCAAAAGCCTCTATCAAAGCCAACATCTAAACTACAATTCGCAAAAAACCCTAAACCCTAAACCCTAAACCCTAAACCCCAAAATCTCCGTGGATTTTTAACTACAGTACGCCACCACCCTATACCGGAGCTCTGGCCTGAGCACTGAAGAGAACCAAGCCGAAGGAGACGTTGAGGCCGCCTGCGTTGGCGGTAACCTAGCGCAGCGGGTTTAGGGTCTAGGGTTCGGGTTTAGGGTTTATAGGGTTTTGGGCTGGTTTAGGGTTAGGGTTTAGGGTTTAGGGTTTAGGGTTTAGGGTTTAGGGTTTAGGGTTTAGGGTTTAGGGTTTAGGGTTTAGGGTTTAGGGTTTAGGGTTTAGGGTTTAGGGTTTAGGGTTAGGGCTTAGGGCTTAGGGCTTAGGGTTTATAATCTTTTTGGGCTGGTTTAGGGTTAGGGTTTAGGGTTTAGCCTCGGCACTGGCATGGCCTGCGGCGAGAGCTTCGGGTTCGGGGCTTAGGGCTTTGGGGTTTGTAGAGTTTGCAGGGTTCAGGGTTCAGGGATCAGGGTTTAGGGTTTGTAGGGTTTGTGGGGTTTGTAGGGTTTGTAGGGTTTGTAGGGCTTGTAGGGCTTGTAGGGCTTGTAGGGCTTGTAGGGCTTTTAGGGTTTGGGGTTTGTAGGGCTGTAGGGCTGTAGGGCTGTAGGGCTGTGGGGTTGTAGGGTTGTAGGGTTGTAGGGTTGTAGGGTTGTCGGGTTGTAGGGTTGTGGGTTTGTAGGGTTTAGGGTTTAGGGTTTAGGGTTAGGGTTTAGGGTTTAGGGTTTAGGGTTTAGGATTTAGGGTTTAGGGTTTAGGGTTTAGGGTTTAGGGCTGCCAGGGGGCGTTGTCCACGACGTCCCCCGCGAAGCGCAGGAGGGCACTGCGCTGGTCCGCATCGGCGTCGAAGTCCAGGGCGATAATGATGTCACCTGGTCACTATGCCTATGGGTTTAGGGTTTAGGGTTTAGGGTTTCGGGTTTGGGGTTTAGGGTTTAGGGTTTAGGGTTTAGGGTTTAGGGTTTAGGGTTTAGGGTTTAGGGTTTAGGGTTTAGGGCTAAATAGGGGGGCACTTACTAGCAATCTGTACACATAAACAGGATTCCAGGTAGGGCGAAGTGTGGACCAAACGATGCGGAGGTTTCCGAACATAAGGGGACCCCTAATATAGACTCCCCCAAAAGAGCAGGAGTCCTATTTTCGTAACCCCAATATCGCCGCAAGGGCATCCCTTTGGTGGCGACTCCTAAACCCTAAACCCTAAACCCTAAACCCTAAACCCTAAACCCTAAACCCTAAAACCTAAACCCTAAACCCTAAACCCTAAAGCCTAAAGCCTAAGCCCTAAGCCCTAAACCCTAAACCCTATAAACCCCTAACCCATGGATGGCACAAGGCCGCATGGCCTTCCCAGACCCCTGGGAGTAGTACCCTCCACTACTATTCGGGTCGTTCTTTGGAGCCAAAAAGTTGAACCCCCTAAATAGTAAACCCTAAACCCTAAACCCTAAACCCTAAACCCTAAACCCTAAACCCCAAACCCTAAACCCTAAACCCTAAACCCTAAACCCTAAACCCTAAACCCTATACTACTACTTAGATTCTTCTTAGTAAACCCTGAAGGGGGTCTACTTTTTGGATCCTCCAAAAGGCCTGAGTTTAGGCATCTTGCGCCCAAGGCTCAGACGGGCACGAAGAGGGGTTGTAGGGTCTGCTTGGAGGTTCATGGTACTTATTACCCAATAATGTACTTTTAACTTTAAAAACCCACTGATAAGCCCCTTAAGTGCCGTAATATACTTATCAGTACAGTTATAAGTACAGTTTCTAGTTGGTGAATAAGTACCATGAACCTCCAAGTGGGGTTTAGAGGGTTTAGGGTTTCGGGGCTTGGTGCCTACAAGAGGTGGGGGAGGCCTGAAGCATCCCCACATGCGGGCCAGGCGACCCCAAATAGTGGTGGTGCTCGTGGTGCTGGTTGACGTGCTCGTCACAGTGGCCTGTATGGACAGGGTTTCTCCGAGTCTCTCCGCAAATAGGGGACCCCCCTTCTAGACCCCAAACTATACTGCGCTTGAAACCTTGAATTCTCGGAACCCTCAAAACCTTCCGGCACGGATTCCTACGCCGGAACCTGCATGCTCTGTTCCCACGGTTTCGGGTGATTAAGCCCGCATAGGGCTCCGCTTAAGGGGCTTCTACTACATTGAGGGGTTTAAACGGAGTACTGCACAAGTTCTACCACGTGCTAGAAGCTGTATGTCTTGAGAAGTTTGTTTGATCACAACTACCCATTAAACGGAAATAAGACACAAGACTGGTACTTCGTTCTGCTCCGAAAAGTGTGCAAGAAGTCTGAAGTCCGAGACTTATTGCCCGATTACATGCCGGGCGGCTGTCGTGAGTGAGGTGGTCAGCGTCGTGGTCGTCGAAAAAGTGGTGGTCTTCGTGGTGGTGCTGCTCATGGTGGAACTGATCGTGCTCGTGCTGCTCGTGTGGGTTAGGGATGTGCTGGTGACAGTGTTCGTGGTGGCGGTGCTGCTGGTACTTGTGAAGCTGGTCGTGGTTGCCGTGCTCGTGGTGGCGGTGCTGGTGGTTTTCGTGAGTGTTGATGACGTGCTGGTAGTAGCAGTCTTGCTGGTGCTAGTGGCGGTGCTGGAGGTGGCAGTGCTGGAGGTTGCTGTGCTTGTCGTGCTTGTGACGCTGGTAACAGTGTCAGTGCTTGTGGTGTAGGTGCTGCTCGTCGTCGTGTAGCTCGTTGTGGTATTCGTGACCTCGTCGCTATCAGTGTCGTTGGTGCCATTGGCGTCGCTATCAGTGTCGTTGGTGAAATTGGTGTCATTGGTGTCATCTAGCCTGGGTTGGCCCATCGAAACCCGAAACCCGAAACCCGAAACCCGAAACCTGAAACCCGAAACCCGAAACCCGAAACCCGAAACCCGAAACCCTAAACCCTAAACCCTAAACCCTAAAGAAGGATCCTCAAGAAGGGACGCAGAGAAGCATCCCCGGGTCCCTACCAAGCAGCTCATTCTGGTCCGCTGTCAGGTGTCTGGCATATGGGTCCTTGGCAAGCAACCCTAAACCCTAAACCCTAAACCCTAAGCCCTAAATCCAAAAACCCTAAACCCTAAACCGTAAACCGTAAACCCTAAACCATAAACTAAACCCTAAACCCTACACCCTACACCCTACACCCTAAACCCTAAACCCTAAACCCTAAACCCTAAACCCTAAACCCTAAACCCTAGACCTAAACCCTAAACCCAGCTTAAGCCCCTTTTCTTTAGGGAGGGCGCTTTGGGGCCGAAACTCTATGCTCCGGGGGAGCACAGGGGGCTTTGATGGGCTCAATGGCTGGCGTTGGGGTTGAGGGTTGAGGGTTGATGGTTGAGGGTTGAGGGTTGAGGGTTGAGGGTTTAGGGTTTAGGGTTTAGTTTAGGGTTTAGGGTTTAGGGGCTCAGGGCTTACCTGAAGGCTCCAAGGACTCTTATTTTCAGGTTTTGCACCCAAAGGCCCCTCTTTACATAATCCTTGTGGGCTATTTTGAGCCTCTGGGTTAGGGTTTAGGACCTGAGTCCCTAAACCTTAAACCCTAAACCCTAAACCCTAAACCCTAAAACCTAAAACCTTCAGTCCAAAGTATCACAATCCAAGGCGCAGCAGGGTCCCGCCCTCTCCACGACGTAGCCAGCCCTGGAGTTTAGGGTTTGAGGGTTTAGGGTTTAGGGTTTTAGGGTTTAGGGTTTAGGGTTTAGGGTTTAGGGTTTAGGGTTTAGGGTTTAGGGTTAGGCTTGAGGCTTCAGGGGTTTCCGGGTTTGAGCTTTGCGGGTTTGAGGCCCTAAACCTGAACCCTACATGATGACCCTAAACCTTGTATAGATGCCAAGCTCTACGTGGGCAACAGAGGTCCCAATCTACCCGCAGCACGATCCCCTTTCTTTTAGAAGCCAGCTGAAAAAGGTACCCTCAAATAAAACGGCTATCGCATATGTAGACATATATGTATGTATGTATGTGTACAAGAATGCATGCAAGCAAGTGCGGATATTTTTATTCAATTTTCAACATTTGATATTGTAATCTAATATATATATATATGCATACACAGCATATATCCCTAGTACCTGAGGCGTGTGCTGCGAGGAGCTCGTGGCCCCACGCTGGCGAGCGCGGGCTTCGGCCTGGTTGGCTGGAGAAAGGCTTCCGATAACAAACCCTGCGCCCTTGTAGGGTCTAGGGTTTAGGGTTTAGGGTTTAGGGGTTTGGGGTTTGGGGTTTAGGGTTTCGGGGTTTGGGGTTTAGGGTTTCGAGCCCTTATTTGCTTAAGCACCCCAGAGAATGAAAATGAAAGGCACGAATCCCTACTCTATTGACCTCAGAATTATAAGGAAGAACGTTGCTTTTGTTGTTCATCTTTTCTCATTATATTTTTTAGTTTAATTTGTAACTTCTGCTTTTCCTTTTGGGGTTGGGGGGGGGGGGGGGGGTTCTGAAGCAAAGAGTCGTAAACCCAGAAGCCTGAACAGCCCCAAACCTTCAGCCCCTGAATGGGCCGAGGCATAGGGAATCCAAGCCTCAACCCCATACATCGTAGCGATTCATCCCAACAAGCACCACCCGCAAGGGTTTAGGGTTTAGCGCTTAGGGTGTTGAGGTTTAGGGTTTAGGGTTTAGGGTTTAGGGTTTAGGGTTTAGGGTTTAGGGTTTAGGGTTTAGGGTTTCAAGCCTACACCCCAAAGCGCAGAAGCTAATCCCTAAACCCAAAACCTTAAGCTCAAAAAGCTAGACCCCAAACCGTGAATACAAAACCCCAAACCCTCCACCCTCGATTCCGAATGCTGCAGCCCAAACCCTAAACCATAACCCGAAGCCCTCAACCCTCAACCGCCGAATGCTAAGCCCCGACGCACCTACCCAAGACCCAATACCCGAACCCCCAACGCTCAACTCCCAACTCTCATGCCCAAACCGAAACCCTACACCCCAAATCCCAAACCCGAAGCCCCAAATCCTATGCCCACCCCCCCAAACCCCCAGACCCTCAACCCCTAGACCCTAAACCCTAGACCCTAAACCCTAAACCCTAAACCCTAACCCCCAAACCCTCAGTCCCAGACTCCTAGCCCCAAAACCGCAAACCAAAGAGCCTCTCGTCGAACTTCCAGGGCGACTGCTCCGGCAACCGTACCTGGGTTGCGAGTTCCCCCATTCTTAGTAGGAAACTTGGGGAGGGGGGGGGGGTGCTCCTAAACCCTAAACCCTAAACCCTGAACCCTAAACCCTAAACCCTAAACTCTAGGGGTTTGAAGCCAGGGATTCAAACAGGGTTTTGAATCGACAGCTGACCTTCAGGGCTTTGGGTCGAAAGGGTGCCGTCGGGGACTCGGGTCGCTCTACGGTGTAAGGAGTTAGGTTTTAGGGTTTAGGGTTTAGGGTTTAGGGGCACCTTCGGTAGAGCGCCGTAAAGATTCTAAACAGATAGAACTGGACATTGCTTTACCCCACCCTGCCGGACATCTGGTGGGGGCATCTCCGGATTGCAAAGATGTAGCCGCAAGCAGCCCTTTACAGCCTAGAGAAGCATGAATGATGATGAAGCTCTATATATACATACATACATACATACATACATACATACATACATATATATATATATAGCCCGAAGGATTATACTACTATGTAGGAACCCCTTCATTGCCCAAGTATATACAATATAGGCACATGGATCCGTAGGGTATATGTAGGAGTAGTCGTAAAAAAAAAGTACCTAAAGCCCCAGACTCAGAACAAGTCCTGTGGCTCTACATCCCCGGCCCTTCACTCACAGCTCTCCTTGGCCTAAATTGTGGGCCCTTATCGGAGGCCTCTATTCCAATCTCTTGACGAGCTTTTGGGGGTTTAGGGTTTAGGGTTTAGGGTTTAGGGTTTAGGGTTTAGGGTTTAGGGTTTAGGGTTTAGGGTTTAGGGTTTAGGGTCCACGAGCTCGGTCTCCCTTTCAGTGTGGGATCAGAGATGTAAACGTCAAGAAAGCACGCACAAGGCTCAGCCCCAAGCCCACAGCAGCCGGCAGAGAAGAGGACACCCAAATCGCCAAGTTCAAAATCCCAAACCCCAAACACCAAACACCAAACCCCAAACCCCAAACCTTAAACCCTAAACCCTAAAACCCTAAAACCCTAAACCCTAAAACCCTAAAACCCTAAACCCTGTCCATCCCCCCCTTCCCCTGGCCTTCCAAGAGAAAAGAAACTGCGTCTCGTTGGGGGGCAGACGTCAGCTTGAGGGTTTACTTGGAGGTTCAAAAGGGTACTTGTACGGTTTAGGGTTTAGGGTTTAGGGTTTAGGGTTTAGGGTTTAGGGTTTAGGGTTTAGGGTTTAGGGTTTAGGGCTTAGGGTATCTTAGGGTAGTTGGAACACGGGTCCTAGAACGCCGTGGTGTTTTCGGTATTTCCGGCAATCTGAGACCCGTTTCTGCGCCGATGCACAAAACACTGGTATTTACCGCGTTTTCGCTTCTTTGCACAACACACTGTGCAAGGATGTGGAACAGGACACGTTGTCACAAGCGTCCATGCCAATTGCGACGATGCACAAAACACTGGTATTTGCCGCGTTTTCGCTTCTTTGTACAACACACTGTGCAAGGATGCGGAACAGGACACGTTGTCACAAGCGTCCATGCCAATTGCGACGATGCACAAAACACTGGTAGTTGCCGCGTTTTCGCTTCTTTGTACAACACACTGTGCAAGGATGTGGAACAGGACACGTTGTCACAAGCGTCCATGCCAATTGCGACGATGCCCAAAACACTGGTATTTACCGCATTTTCGCCTCGCTGTACGACATACTGCACAAGAATGTGTAACAAGAAAAGCTGTCACAAGCGTCCATGCCTTTGGCTGAAGCACGATCTCATTCAACACCAAAGCCCCCAATTCAGTATAAATCGAAGTAGTTTTTTTCCTGCTTTTTTAACCTCCTGTTTTAGGAATCCTCCCAAAACCCAGGTAAAACGCACCTTTTCGTACACCCAAACGCCACGGCGTTCTATGGCCCGTATTCCGGGTAGTTACATGGTCCCTTAGCATGGGCCCTGAAAAGGGGACTCCTTATGCACCCCTTTATGTACCCTCTAACACCCAAGGGTGGCTTAGGTTTAAGGGCCCGGAAGCCTCGAATCTCTCGGAAATCACTCGGGTTTACAGGTTCCCCTAAACCCTAAACCCTAAACCCTAAACCCTAAAGCCCTTCCGAAAAATTGTCCAAAATCGTTTAGGGCACCCCCAAAAGGTGGCTAAGCCCTAAACCCTAAACCCTAAACCCTAAACCCTAAACCCTAAACCCTAAACCCCATGTTGTAGTCCGAAGTGCGGCAATCTGCGCCAGCAGCCAAAGGATCACGGCCCACATAGGGAGTACACAGATCCTCTGCATGGCCTCATCAACTTATTCCTTCTTAAGCAAGCCTTTTTCCCAGAAGGGCCCTCGAGTGTTTCGTCGTTTGCTTCGCATTCTTTTAAAGGCTTTAGGGTTTAGGGTTTAGGGTTTAGGGTTTAGGGTTTAGGGTTTAGGGTTTAGGGTTTAGGGTGTAGGTTTCAGGGATTTTTCGCTGCCTCCGCCAAGAAAGAGTCGGGTCTTTGGAGCCCTCTGGGTTTTTTGGGGGCAAACAGGGCTCAAGCCTCTGGCTGTGAGTATGGGGCTGCCCGAAACATTCCCGGCAAGGTCTGGATAGCAAAGTAGGTCAGAGTTGAAAGGGTTGTTTCAGTGAGCCTAAACCCTAAACACTCTGAACCCTAAACCCTAAACCCTGAAGTAGGAAATGAATGCTCTGGTGGAGGGCAACAGGCCGGAACGTGTTGTTCCAGCCTTTTGCCTCCTCCTTCTGTGCTGTGGGCCAAGAGGATGACGCGGGCGCGGGCGGCTTTGAGCTTAAGAGATTTGAGATGGGCTTACGAGGGGTTAGGGGTTTAAATTTCGGGTAAGGGTTTAGGGTTGCAGGGCTTACGAGGCTTCAGGGGAAGCTTAGGGTCTAGGGTTTAAGGGCTTACGAGGTTTTAGGGGGATTAGAGTTCAGGGCGTTAGGGCAAAGGGAGGATTTAGGAGGGGTTTGGGGTTTAGGGCTTCAAGGCTTACGAGGCTTGAAGGGGGGGTTGGGGGGTTTAGGGTTGTAGGGCTCAGGGTTAGGGGTTTGGGAGGCAGACGCTGTGGGAACCTGTCTGTCGGCTCGTCTAAATGTCACTCCCTCTTTTCATTAATCAGGACCACTGCTCACCGAATAGACCCTAAATCCTAAACGCAAACCCTAGACCCTAAACCCTAAACCCTAAAGTCCTCCGAACGCGTTTATGGTTTCGGAGAGCTGGCAGGAGGGTCTGTTGTTCAAGTTCAGGATCTACCGATCGTATAGTTGTTTGAGCCCTTTTTCACCCCCGACACCCCTAAAATGGGGTTCCCTCATTGGGTCCCTACATAGTACGACACCATATTGAAAGGGAAGCCCCCTAAAAGGGACCCGAATCTAGAAAACTACCCACATGCTAAAATGGAGACCACAAAACTAGTTCATGGTTGGTATAATATTAAAAAAATGTTGATTTATATTCCCTATTGGGTTAAGTACCCTTAAAGATGTAAAATGGTACCCAACTATGAAAAGGGTGGAGGGGGTTGACGGAAAGCACTGCTCAGGCGGAAGGCTTGGGCTGGCAAAGATTATCACGGCACATACATCTCCGGCCTTTCCAACACATCCAACTCTTCTCCAAACCCTACACCCTAAACCCTAAGCCCTAAACCCTAGCCCTAAACCATCAACCCTAAACCCTAAACCCTGAACCCTGAACCCTAAACCCTAACCCCCGTTGAGATCATGAGGCCTTCTTAAACTCTAGAATCAGAAATCCTGGCCAGTGTCCTGGGCTGGTTGTGGAGCCCTGGAAGACGCTGACGGGTTTCGGTGAATTTCAACATTGCCTTGTTTTGAAAGTTTTCGCCCTCTCTACTCAGGAGTCTTAGGGATTCGGGGTTGGGGTTTGGGCTAGGGTTTGGGCTTAAACCCTTAAACCCTTGAAAACCCCTCAACACTTAAAGCCATGGCAGCCCGAAACCCTAAACCCTAAACCCTCAACCCTAAACCCCTAAACCACTAAACCCCTAAACCCTAAACCCTAAACCCGAAACTCCCAAAACCCTGAACCCTAAACCCCAACCCTGAGAGCTCTCAAATCTCACAGACCGACCGACCCTCCCACTCACCAGGTGGCCACGCGTGATGTCACTGACGGCGCGAAGTTTGAGTTTCAGCCCCGGGCCCAGGACATCCTTAGGGGTTTAGGGTTTAGGGTTTAGGGTTACCAGGGCTACCAGGGGTTTAAGGTTTAGGGTTTAGGGCTTTGGTAGTTTTGGGTTTCGGGTTTGGGGATGTAAGGGAGTAAGATGTGGGGTGTCGGGTCGAGGCTGTTGGGGTTGCGTCCTTTTGTTTAGGGTTCCGGGCTTAGGGTTTCCTAAGCCCTAAACCCCCCTAAGTCCATGGTGGCGCAGCTGGATTTGGGAACCCCTAAACCCTAAACCCTAAACCCTAAACCCTAAACCCTGAACCCTAAACCCTAAACCACAGGGGGGGGCGCCCTGAATCTCTCAAGGGAGCTCCTGGGCTTATGATTGCCACATCCACGCGCGAGTTTTCTTTGGGGGAGGGTGTGTCCCTAGACCCGAAACCCTAAACCCAATAACCCTAAACCCAGAAACCCTAAACCCGGTAACCCTAAACCCTAAACCCTAAACCCTAAACCCTAAACCCTAAACCCTAAACCCTAAACCCAATAACCCTAAACCGGTGGCCTTAGGATGGCCATGCCTTTGGGGTTCCATGAAGCCATGAAGAAGCCTGCCTGCAGGTTGAGCTTGAAGGTGAGAGTGTCACCGAAGCGCCAGGGGCAGTCCTGGCTTCGTTTAGGGTTTAGGGTTGAGGGTTGAGGGTTGAGGGTTGAGGGTTGAGGATTTAGGGTCTATAGGTAGAATTTTCATTGTTTTTTCTTTTTTTTTGGGGGGGGGGGGATGAGGGGCGGATACCTAGGCACCTGCTTTCAAAACACCCGGGAACTGGAACTGCGAAGCACCAAGGCTCTGACGTGCTCTCGCAGCCCTCGGAACACAGAAGGTACAAAACCACACAATGTTCATGGTTTTGGAGGCCCTCGAACTAAAAACTAAACCCCTAAACCCCTAAACCCCTAAACCCCTAAACCCCTAAACCCCTAAACCCCTAAGCCCCTAAGCCCCTAAACCCCTAAACCCTTAACCCTGGGCTTTGGGTCTCGGGTGTATTTAGGAGACCGCGGACAGGAGGGCTCGGGCCAACGAGGGTTCTTGCCAAAAGCCTTTTGAACCCTTCAGAAAATGAAGTCCTGGGACCCGGAGGGTTTATATTTTGGGGGTTTGGGGCTTTTGGGGTTGTTGGGGCTTTGGGAGCTCTTTTTGGTGGTTTTTGGGGAACCCTAAACCCTAAACCCTGAACCCTGAACCCTA